GGAGGACTGTATAGGCCAGCGTCTTCGACTCAATCAGTATCGGGAGAGCTTCGCCGATGAGGCCGCCGCGGAGGTCCTCTCGCAGCTTCTCTCGGAGAGCGATCCTCCCGCTGCTGTCAGCGGCATGGTTTTGAGGCAATGGTACGTGAAGTATCACCCTGACTCTGGACCTTTGCAGTACGACACGGCTGAACAGCTCGACGCGGCACTTGGTGACCACATGCGCGCGGTATATCCAGGGCTGAAGTGCCACACGTTGCATGCCGCGTTGCGTATGCGACGGAAAGCTGTCTTGGTGTCCCACGGGGTGTTGAGACGGTGGTGCGATGTGTATGCGTCGGTGAGCTCCTCAGTGCAGGCGGCGGCTTCATCCGCCCAGGCCGTCACCAGGCGTGTATTGAAGCGCCCGGCGGCACAGGTCGCAGGCGTGGTATTGAAACGGCCAGCCGCCACGGGATCTGTCCGCGTGGGCAAACGGCCTGCCGCGGTCGACTGGGAGGAGCCCGTATCGAAGCAGCAGACCATCGGGACAATCATCGGGACAACGATCGGGACAACCACAACCATCAGGACAACCATCGGGACAACCATCGAGACAACCGTCGGGACAACCATATCCTCTCTCTCTCTTGTGTATTCCCACATCCCTCAGGAATTTGCCCTAACGATGTGATCAACTATCTTGTGAGTACGTATCATGTGTATCATGTGTATCATGTACCATATGCATCATATGCAACAGATGTTCTGTGGAAGGCTTAACAACTTCTGTGGGTTAACAAGGCTTAACAACTTCTGTGGGTGTACGAACGTAGGCTTAACAACTTCTGTGGGTGTGTACTCCACGCCAGTGTAGTAGCCACGGTCGTCCGCAGGCCACGAAGTGAAGTGTCCGAACGTCATAGGGCGGGAAGCTGGGTGTGGGTGGTGGCGAAGAGTCGTGTGGATATTTGGTAGAGCTTGCACTGCCCCCCCACAAAGTGGGGGTATTGGCTGGCGTCGCATGAAAACCCTGGCACTGGTGAGAACACTGAGCGTTCGGGTAAAGTGTTTGTTGTTGTTGTTGTTGTTGTTGTTGTTGTTGTTGTTGTTGTTGTTGTTGTTAGTTGTTGTTGTTGTTGTTGAACATTATTTATTCTAAAGAATAATTATTGTTGGGCCCCCTGGTGCGCGCCCCCCCTGCGCCGCCTAGGCCGCAGCTACATTTTCATCATTTTCGTGAGGAAGCCTCAGAAAAGAGGGTGTGTACAGGATCCGGTTGTTTTGTTGTAATCCGCTTTCCCTTGCAAAAAACAATAGAAAATGACATTTCTTGTTCTAATATAATCAAATTTCAAGAATCCCTTGCAAAAAATAAGGTAAAGTGGACATTCGCGCGCGCAAGACGAAATCCTTCCAAAAGCTTAGTGTTCGGAGCGATTTTAACATAAAAACATCAAAAAACCAATGGTTTTTCAACAAAAAAATGTCAAAATCTCATCCCGCGCGCTCTTGCGGATTCGTAGGAAACCCAACACTTTTTAAACATTTCTGTCAAACGGGCTTTTGCGAGCAACTTTTTCGAACTTCTGCGACAACGGTTGCGCGCCTGCCAGGGCCATCATCCCTGTCAAATAATACCATGCGGGACACATTCGTTTTTTCTTCGCGCGCGCACGCCGATGTATTTCTGCCAGGAGCCCAGCTGGCAGCATTGCGCCCCATCCGTGCCATCAGGGACGGGCGTATGCCAGAAGATGACGAGCACACGAACTCGTCTCTTTAGAGCCGCGGCGGGGAAAAGACGGTGGGTGGGCGTGCAAGCGCCGTTCCCGCCCCTCCTCTCTCTTCTCTCCTTTCCTCCTTGTCCTGCTCCTCCTCCTCCTCCTCCTCCGGCGGGGGGCGTGAGGATCCGGCATCGCTCACAACCATCGGGACAACCATCGGGACAACCATCGGAACAACCATCGGGACAACCATCGGGACAATCATCGGGACAGTCATCGGGACAACGATCGGGACAAGCACAACCATCAGGACAACCATCGGGACAATCATCGGGACAACGATCGGGACAACCACAACCATCAGGACAACCATCGGGACAACCATCGAGACAACCATCGGGACAACCATATCCTCTCTCTCTTGTGTATTCCCACATCCCTCAGGAATTTGCCCTAAAGATGTGATCAACTATCTTGTGAGTACGTATCATGTGTATCATGTGTATCATGTACCATATGCATCATATGCAACAGATGTTCTGTGGAAGGCTTAACAACTTCTGTGGGTTAACAAGGCTTAACAACTTCTGTGGGTGTACGAACGTAGGCTTAACAACTTCTGTGGGTGTGTACTCCACGCCAGTGTAGTAGCCACGGTCGTCCGCAGGCCACGAAGTGAAGTGTCCGAACGTCATAGGGCGGGAAGCTGGGTGTGGGTGGTGGCGAAGAGTCGTGTGGATATTTGGTAGAGCTTGCACTGCCCCCCCACAAAGTGGGGGTATTGGCTGGCGTCGCATGAAAACCCTGGCAGTGGTGAGAACACTGAGCGTTCGGGTAAAGTGATTGTTGTTGTTGTTGTTGTTGTTGTTGTTGTTGTTGTTGTTGTTGTTGTTGTTGTTGTTGTTGTTGTTGTTGTTGTTGTTGTTGTTTGTATGTTCTGTCTTTTCGTCTGCACAATCTCCAAGACTTCTGTACAGGCCCCCATAATCGCCCCCAGACGCCCCAGACGTCCCCAGGAGGGCCCGCCCGAGACGCCCCTGGACGGCTCCAGAGGCGCCCGAGACGGCCCAAGCGGCACCCAAGACAGCCCCAAAAGCGGCCAATAACGTCCCAAGATGGCCCCAAGACGGCTTCAAGATGGCCTGAGAGGCGCCCAAGACGGCCCTGGATCGCCCCAGGGTTGCCCAAGAGGCACCCAAGACTACCCAGAAGGGACCAGAGAGAGACCCCCAGGAGGACAAAAAGAGGCCTCCAAAAGGCCTCCAAGAGGCTTTGGATGCTTGTCGACGACTGACGACCGACTGACGACTGACGGCTTGGTGAGCGTCGACGACTGACGATCGAAGATCGACGGGATGAAGGATCGAGGGGATGATGATGATGATGATGATGATGATGATGATGATGATGATGATGATGATGATGATGATGATGATGATGATGATGATGATGATGATGATGATGATGGATGATGATGATGATGATAGATGATGATGATGATGATGATGCTGATGATGATGATGATGATGATGCTGCATGCTGCTGATGATGATGATGATGATGATGGTGATGACGATGATGATGATGGTTGGTGATGATGGTGGTGATGATGATGATGATTATGATTATGATGATGATGATGATGATGATGATGATGATGATGATGATGCTGCTGATGATGCTGCTGCTGATGATGCTGATGATGCTGATGCTGCTGCTGATGATGGTGGTGGTGATGATGGTGATGCTGATGATGATGCTGCTGAGAATGAGGATGATGACGATTATGAGGATGATGAGGATGGTGAGGATGAGGAGGATGAGGATGGTTATGGTGATGATGATGATGATGCTGATGCTGATGCTGATGCTGCTGCTGCTGATGATAATGATGATGCTGCTGCTGATGATGATTATGATGATGATACTGATGCTGTTGATGATGATGATGTTGATGATGATGATGGTGGTGGTGGTGATGATGCTGATGATGCCGATTATGATGATGTTGATGATGATGGTGGTGGAAGGGTGGTGATGATGATGCTGATGATGATGAGGATGGTTATGGTGATGATGATGGTGGTGGTGGTGATGATGCTGATGATGATGAGGATGATGATGATGATGGTGGTGATGATGATGATGATGATGGTGATGATGATGATGATGACGATGATGATGATGATGGATGAGTATGGTGATGATGATGATGATGATGATGATGATGATGATGATGATGATGATGATGATGATGATGATGATTATGATGATGATGATGATGATGATGATGATGATGATGATGATGATGATGATGATGATGATGATGATGATGGATGATGATGATGATGATGATGATGATGATGATGATGATGATGATGATGATGATGATGATGATGATGATGATGATGATGATGATGATGATGATGATGATGATGATGAGGAGGAGGAGGAGGAGGAGGAGGAGGAGGAGGAGGAGGAGGAGGAGGAGGAGGAGGAGGAGGAGGAGGAGGAAAACGCCCAGAATGGCCCCCAAAGCCGATAGAAGTCACCGAGATGTCCCTAGCATCACCCGAAGAAGGCCCCAAGAGGGTTCAGACACACCGAGACGGCTCCAAACGAAGATCGACCGGATGAAGGATCCAGTGGAGGAAGAGGAGGGCGCCTAAAATTGCCCAGAAGCTGATCGGAACCACAGAGATGTCCCGAGCATGCCCCGAAGGCCCCAAGAGTGTCCAGACACCCCGAGAAGACTCCTGACGCGCAGCCCAAGTAAATCAAATGGACAGTTACTCCAGCGTCCTATCGGTGATCCTCCCGTGCACCGGGCGCCTGAGCGGCCCCAGTGTGGGCCGTCTCGGCGTCCTCTGACGGGCCTCTTAGGCCGCCTTGACTCTAGACGAACGAACAGGAACATGCCCGCGCCGACCGGCCCCATTCTCACCACACTACCAGATAAACTATTGTTCGGCCCCGGCGAAGAGCAGATACATTTATCACGGCGACCTGTCCCGCAGAAGCTATGATGAACACAGGGCGCGGCGCGAGAAACAGCTTCTGTTCACACCATGTCGTGCCTACATGGGTGTGCTTCCATTGACAATGCCTCCACCACCGCGTTCCTGCCTTCAGGCCTGCTTGCCTGCATCCCTCGCCCACCTCCACCTCCAGCGGCCACCTCCTCCATCCACACCGTCCCCTCCAACCTCCCCCCACCGCGAGGCCCGGGAGACGCTCCACTTCCACGTCCACACCATGGCGGGCAGATTCCGCGGCCAGAAGGCCGCGGGTCAGCCTCAGTCAGCTACAATGCTGGGATCAGCGCGTGCGAGAAAGGCGAGCAGTGGCAGCTAGCTTTGACGCTGCTCAAAGAGATGGTGGAGACGATGCTGGAGCCCAACGTCATATGCACTACAAGTGCGGTCGCGGCGCGTACGAAGAGCGCACCCAGAAAAGCTGCTCAGAGCGGCCCCCGAGCGCCCGGAGCGCCCGGAGCGCCCCCCAGCACGGTCCCCGACGGGCCCAGAGGGTCGCCACATGGTGCGGCTTCAGACAGCCCGAAGACGTACCTCTGCGACGCTCCGGAGGGCGCCATGACGGCCCAAGACGGGCCGAAGATTCGCCGGGAGGTTCCACAGACGGCCCGACCCCGACGACGGCCCCGCGAGGAGAAACAATTTGCAAACACATTGTGTGTTCAAAAGGCTTTCTACATGTTCCCTCCTTGTGAGGAACCAAGGGCGGCCCCCAACGGCTCCAGGTCCTTCAAAGATCGCACCAAGATGACCCGATATTGTTCCACAATCTAGCCCATGGCTGGCCTAGAACGGCCCCGCGCGCGCGGCTTCAGTCACTTCTACGATCGCCCCAATATGGCCCAAGAGGCCCCGACGAGTGCACCAAGACGGCCCAAGAGGGCCCCGAGCTGGGCCAAGGCAGGCCCTCGCATGCCTAATAGAACTTCAGAGCGCCCCCCAAAACGCCCCAGGAACTGCCCAAGAGGGCCCACAGCTCTCAGATAACTCCGAACCCCCACCCTGGCCCCAAAATGTGCCAAAAGTACCCGAGACGCCCCAGTAGCTGTCCAAGACAGCCCCAGTAGCTGTCCAAGACAGCCCAAGTCGGGCTCCAAACCGGCCCCAGACCCCCACCACGGCCAAAGAGGGCCCCAAAATGGCTTAAGAGGATTCCAAAATGGCCCAAGCGGCTAGATTTCTCCAAGAAAGCCTACTCCGACGTGCTCTACAGCCTTCAACAGACTCCGACAATTGGCACGGAGCTCCCAAGAGAGCCTTTAGCCATAATTCGCACCTTTCGCCGTCTCTGAATTCTCAGACGGCCGAAGAGGGCCCCAAGAGCTGTCCAAGAATGACCGCTCCGAGATGCTCTACAGGCTCGCAACATATGCTGGCAGTTGCTAGGGAGCTCCTCAGAGAACCGCGAGCCCCCAGCGATTTTTGCCAAACGGCCAAAGAGGGCCCCGCGAGCTGCCCACAGGCAGGACCGTTCCGAGATTCTCTGCAGCCTCCCCAGAGACTCTGACCGCTGCCAAGGAGCTCCGAAGAGAGCCGCTAGCCCCAGCGCGTACTCGGGAGCCCCGAAGAGAGTCCAACACACCATAAAAGGCCCCACACCACTCCCAGTTGCCCCGCAGCCCCCCCAGCGACTCCGACAGTTGCCAGGGAGCTCCCACCGCCATCCCCCCGCACCTGTGGCCGTTGTTGCATCACCCGAGGCCCCACAGAAAACACCGAACCCCCAAAAACGCCCCAGAAAGCTCGCCTCCCTCTTCTGTCCTCTCCTCTCCTCTGCTCTCCTCTCCTCTCCTCTCCTCTCCTCTCCTCTCCTCTCCTCTCCTCTCCTCTCCTCTCCTCTCCTCTCCTCTCCTCTCCTCTCCTCTTCTCGTCTCGTCTCGTCTCGTCTCTTCTCTTCTCTTCTCTTCTCTTCTCTTCTCTTCTCTTCTCTTCTCTTCTCTTCTCTTCTCTTCTCTTCTCTTCTCTTCTCTTCTCTTCTCTTCTCTTCTCTTCTCTTCTCTTCTCTTCTCTTCT